GCCCCTCCCGGGCAAGGCCCCGGCCCGAGCAGCGAACGGGGAGCTCCATCCCGAGGGTGCTACCCCCGCTGTCTTCGGGGGTGCCGGGGCTGGGCCCCCCGCCCCRCTCGGGCGGCACCTGCCGGGCGGGCGGGGCGGGAAGCGGGAGCCGGGCGGGGCGCAGTGACAGCCCGCCCTGCCCGCGGGGGTCGGGGCAGTGCGGGGGAAGGAGCGTCCTGTGCTGGGGAATGGGTGAGCTGCCCGGCGCTCCGGACGCGGCTGTCGCCCATGGGGGCAAGGAGACCTCGTGTTTTCATAGCCTGTACTGTGCACGGTGCGAGCAGCTCCGCAGGGCTGGGGGCCAGGGCGTGCACACACTGTCTAGGRGGCACTGATAAATACACAGGGAAGAGCTCGGGGACCCTGTGTTGAGTGTCAGCAGCAGAAGCCTGGCGGTACAGGAAGACAGTATGTAAACATGTGTTTTCATGCAWACAGATCTGTGTATCTGCCTCTCGAGTGCTGTGTCTAGTTCTGGACTCCTCACTTTTTGAAGGACATTGAGGTGCTGGAGCATGTCTAGAAAAGGGCAGTGGAGCTGGTGAAGGGGCTGGAATATGAGTTTTTTTGTAGAGCAGCTGGGGCTGCTAGCCCAGAGAAGAGGAGGAGGCTCAGGAGTGACCTTATTGCTCTGTAGAACTCCCTGGAAGGAGAGTGTAGCTAGGTGGGGATTGGCCTCTTCTCTCAGGCAACAAATGAGAGGGCATAATCTCAAGCTTCAGCAGGTGATGTTTAAATTGAATGTTGGGAGCAATTTCTTCGCTGAAAGGGTGATTGGACATTGGAATGGACTACCCAGGGAGATGGTGGAGTCACCATCCGTGGAGGTGTTTAAGGAAAGACTGGCACTGAGTGCCATAGTCTAGTTGACATGATGGTTGTTTGGTCAAAGGTTGTACTCAATGGTCTCAGAGGTCTTTTTTATCCTCAGTAGTTCTGTGATCTYTGTAGGGTTTGTGTGGATGTTGTTTCAGATGAGCACAAGGATTAGATAAAAACTTAGTGTAGATAAAAACCAGACACGTCTTGCTGTATATATGGATTCATRCACAAAGTACTTGAGTGTTATAGAAGAGGAAATTATTCAGTGTAAAATGTGTCTATATGCCATCTTGATATGTCCTCTTACAAACTGTAAACTCTCGCTAATCTAACTATAGGACATTAACCAGCTTCAACAGATGTGTACAGAATGGGGTAGACATCTTTTGGTGATACTGTTTTGTTCAGCACCATACAAGTTCATCAAGATACTAACTCTTTCCACGTTCAAAGATTCCAGGAGTGGAAATCTTGCTTCTATCTAATCAGTGTGGGTCTTTGCTACAGGTCCAGCAATTGGAGAAAAACTGGCTAATGTGCCCACATGGCTGGTGTCATTGTGTTAACTGAACAGATTTATTGGAGGAGCATCATAAATTATGGATAGAGCTGACACTCTCMACTTGGTGCAGCTCAGTTGTGGACGCTGTGCTGCATTTGGAGACTGATTAATACAAGTCATGGACCAATTGRCATGACTGCAATTAATAATTAGCTGCAGTTTATTGCTTATTAAATAAACTTGCCCTATTCAGTGGAATGGACAATGTTTAAAGTTACTGTTCCTCTGTTTGCCTTGCCCATTTTCCAGAGAAAGCTCTGTGTGTTTCAAGGAGTTAATGTGAAGTATGAAAAATAACTTTTTCTYCTCTGTCACCTTTATATTGCCTGCAGTGACATCAGGGAGATATGACAGATCTGTCACTACAGATAGTGTAGTAGAGTGTGTGACTCAGTTTCCCTTAGGGTTGGGCTATGCTGGAGACCCTTGCCACCAGTGTCAGTGTTAYGGTCTCTGCTTGGCAGGTGAAGCAGAGAGTGTGGTTATCTGTGGAAGCAATAAGCTGACCTTGACCTTAAGGTTTGTATTTACTTACGTTTGGTGCATGCAGGGGGTGTTTTCCACAGATAGGAAGCTTTATGTCTTCTATAATTGCTGAAGTGCTAGAACTGTGAAAGTTTCAATGAGTGTTTGCCTTGTGTTTCCATATCCAGATTTGGTGTGGTGATCTGGATGTTTTCAGATTACACTAATTATTGGCACACATACATAATTCTTTCATTTCCAGTCCTATACTTAAAATGAAGATGTAACCTTAGTCCTGACTGATTTAACACTGACTTCATGCAGCTCTCAGTCTGCAGCTTAATGTATAAAGCATAATAACAATAAGCATTGCAAAATGGGTTTTGGAATATTCCTTATGGTATAAAAATAAGTTCCTAAAAGAGTTGGAATAGTTCATGACTAAGAGACTTTGAGATTTATGTATCATGCCTGTGAATTTTCTCCGTTATAGTTTATAGTAAAGTGGTAGACCATTACTAAGTTTTCACATAAAAACTATTATAGGTAAAMACAGCATACTTGATAACATGAAAACTGACATTTTGCTGCATGGTAAGAACCGCACAGTTTTACTTTCCAATTCAATGTCTGATGAAGTGGAATTTGTCCCGGAGTGTTCTAATAGCACCTACTTGGCCTCTGGCAGGTTCCGTAATGCAGCTGGGCAGTGACTATTCCTTAACCCTGGAGTCAGATGAATGAAATGCTCATGGTTGTCTCTCATGATGTGTGCTTGTTTTATSTGCTAAAGTTACTATTGTTCTGTTTGTCTCTAAAGCTGGTATTCTGTCCATGTAAAACAGTAGGAGGGTTGACACTGACAGCCTGAAATAGTGCATAAGTTTACATGCATTTCTTGTAGTTTGAGGCCTTTCGTGTGATGCCAGGGGAGAGATACAGTAATCTAGAATGCAGGTGAAGAAAGAACAAATCTGTGGCCAATCTTCTAGTTGAAAACCTCCAGAATATTAAAAGTCCCAACTGCAGAAGTACTTCAAATAGTAACAATTTGATTTATATTTTGAAGACAAAAAATTTGTTTCTTCAGACTGTTGGGTTGGTGCCCAATGAGTGACTAATTTTAGTCRATGCCTTTTTTTCCCTCTTCTTATCTCCTAGTAACTTTGCAATGAAGGTAAATGGTGGGCAGCCTTACTGCTGCAGACCAGATGGCTTTTTCTGTGTCTCAGAAGAGGGAAACAGTGGATTGTATTGGAGCGTACATAATGCTGCCCTGTCTCTTGCTATGGGTAATAGCAATGTGATTTGTAGGTTGTGTGGTTCTAAAACTCATGCAGTGAAGCTGAGGGGAGGCTCTGATGTGAAATGAACTTTCTGCCGAGGTGAGGCTCTGCTAAAACAGGCAGCACGTGCAGACGTGACTAAAGATTGTCCCGGTCCCAATGGAGGCAGAGCTCTGCAGAGAACAGCAAAGCCCTGCCTCGGTGCATCTTTTGGCACAAGCCCATCTGAGGGAGRAGGATGCTGGACCCTGCTCTGGAAGAGCAAGAGTGAGATGCCATTTCTGACAGGAGGGTTCTTGGGTATCTTGGAGGGATCATGGGCACAGGGCCGCTGCCAGCAGCGAAAGCACCGGAGTGCAGTGTTCCTGCGCTCCGTGTCGGCAAACACCAGCAACTGACAGGTGAATCAGGGAAGGAAGGCAGACTGTAGGGGTGTTGGGTGTCAGTACCACTTCTGAAATCAGTACTTTGCCAAATACGATGTTTTGGTAGACATGGTTGGTACTGTTCATATGGGCTTTTATTTTAGGGAAGGGGGATAAGGATCTTTCTGCATGGGCTTTTATCACATGGGGGGAGACTGCAGCATAAGGGCAACACTTCAAATGGAAATGATTGTCTTTACCCCGAGCACAACCTTTTGCTGTGGTCATGGGTGCTCTGCTCTGCTGCTTTCCTAGATAGCTGCAGGGGTATGCAGCGCATCTCTTGCCACTTTCATTTTCCAGTCSTAAGGGGCTGTGAGCCCAGCACTGCTGTGCTCTGGATGTTTGAAGCAAGTCAGCAGAACTGTGTGAGATTGCAGTGTCTGGGAGAGGGCTCAGGGTTAGTGGCTGCTATACAGTACTCACAACTAATAATTTTGGGGATTATTTGTGYTGCCTACCTTTAAAATTGTATGTTACCATGGTATCAGTGTATTGTCCATTATGAGAACACAGTTTCAAAAGGAAGGCTTTGGTGTTGTGGTTATTGCTTACAAAAGTCCCGTAGAAGGGTTCACATGGCTGGAAAAGCTACTTCCATCCAGTAGTTGAATTAGGATTTGGAAATWCACGTATGTCAGTTTATTAGTGGGCTCCTAACATGAGGGAAATACTGACTCATGGTTGAAATGAGAAGTTAGTCTTTATTTATTTATTTACCTACCTCTTCAATGAGCCCAAAGTCTGGGGGAAGCTTTAAAAACTCTGCAAAGCCACTTTTCCTTTTGATGTGTGTTTGTTACTTTCAGAGTTTTCCTGAATAAGCTTTCCTTGCAGTGGCGAGTCGTTTCCTCTGCTGAAACAATGTGTGCTATGCTTGTGTAGATGAATGATCTCTTGGAGGATTAATGACTCAGTCTATAACAAAAGCTCATATTTTCCCCTTCTTCTCTATGAGTTTCTTCTGTCACACCATTTTTAGTGCTGGCAATGTAGATTAATTGCATAGGTTTTTGAGGTAGTCACGCAAYCAATGTTAAAATAACTGCTCACCTGTGCAAATTTAGACAAAATAGTGTAATGATCTGGAGAGAAAAGGCTTTACATCATGTAATTGCTGATCTGGATCCCAGAATTTTCTGTATTGATTTAGATATGCCCCTTCATGCCCACAAATTAGTGAAATCAGTAGCTATAGAACATCCCTGTGGTTACTTGTAACATTTATTTTCAAAATTATCAGCTGTTATAAATTCATTATTAAACTGAAATCACTCTCACAAACATGATATGCTTGWGTGTTCCTGTTTAGATTTTCAGATCGGCAGTGAGAAGCCACATTTAAACTGCTTTACTTAGTACTGAGGATGTACATCAAGCCATTTACAGCTGCCCATATTGAATTGTGGTCAAATTCCTTCTCTTCTGTTCAGTTACAGTGTTTTCAAATGAAGGGAGGGGCAGTAGGTGCTTGGTTTTAAACTTAAACCTGTCTCTTATTTTTGATAAGGGTAAAAGCTTCTGCACTTTTCTCCCATGCCTCAAAGCCTATCTCCACATCAAAAATACTTTTTGGAGGGTTCATATGGCTTYTAGAGCAGATAGAGGAAGGTCTTTTTAAGTTCTCTTTATTGCAATGCTCTGTATGTCCTCCCTTGAGCTGGGAGCAGTAGGTTGGGGCCAGAGGAAGGATTCCTGGTGACTGTGTGCTCAGGGAGCAGCACTTCAGGACAGGAGGAGCTGTCCATGTGTAGGAACCTGCACTGGCTGCCACTGTGGCCCATGGGTTTCTAAGCCAGCCAAGCATGAAAACATCAGGGTGCTTGTCGTGCCCAGCTTGGCAGACCTGGGGTGATTTTAACCTTGGTGGCTTTTTGTCAGTTTTCTTTTATATGGACTTCCCGAAAATCATCTCTTGCAAGTGTTACAAAACACATAAATACACTTACTCCCGACTCTTAGTTACTGATGAGCTTCCTGYTATGATACTATTTAATACCTCATAATCTAGAACGGTTATTTTTATTGTACATCTGTGGTGCACATATTTTACGGTGGAATCATTGGTTTGTTTTTTTTTTTCAGAGCCAGGAAAGGCCATTATAATCATCTTAGATGCTTCATTAAGCATGCTGGTATACTTGTGTTTGGGATTTCTGTGCATCAATTTCAAACATCCTTTTTAGCTACAGTTTTYTCTTTAAAAATGTATTGAACTTGGTTTAAGAGTTTGAGTTAKAGGGAGCTCAACATGCCTTTTCTTGGTGTAGTTACATAAAATCTGTTAAACTTTGCATTCATTGCTAACCTGAACTTATCCAATGTAATCTTCTGCAAAATAGGTCTAGTTATACCTTTCCTTGATTAAAAAAAAAAAGGCTGCAGAGCTATTTACCCATCTGAATTATYTTCCTCTATAGATACTTGTGATCAGTGCAGATCTTGACCTTCTTTGGGAAGAACAAGATCRGAGTGTCTTAACACAGTAAGGCATGTTTTTAGATCTTGAAATCTATCTCCTAGATSTCTGCTGAGTCTTTTCCTAATTTTACAGTGTGAACATTGTGTTCAGGTAATTAATTTGTTAACAACACTTGCAGAGCAGTACTCAATAGAATACTAAGACAAGGCTGAGGTATTTGTACAGTTTTCACTGGAATAGTGTGACAGTGTAGCCTTCTGAAAGAAGGCCTTCGAATTCCTGAGCTGCTGCTCTGCTGAGCTGCCTGTACTTCTTACCTAGGTTAAGGGTTTTTTTTTACTCTCAGTATTATGAAAGTCACCTCCAAGATCCTCTGAACCTGGAGGAGCCAGAAGTAGATTTTGGTTGTAATATGATGAGTGATTCATAGGCCTCATTTTTTTCTTTCCACCCATTTGTTTTTTAAGTGTTTCTGGAAATGAAATATGTGTCATTGTCATAATAGGTATTTACATTCAAGAGTATGTRTATATTCTACTTTAATCTCTGTTTATAATTAAAATGCAGGTTAAAAAGACTGCCTGTGATTATGTGCTTGTTATTCAGAACAAGAGTATACAAAGTTAACTGGCATTTAGTGTGAGGCTGGTATGTTATAAATCCARTCATTATTTTAAGTGAAGTTTTGTATAGTTTTAAAAAACTTAACCTACCTGCATCACTTCGCATTTTTTATAGTTTCTGAAATGCTTCTCTGTGTATCAAACATGAGTTGTGTTTTATTGTAACACATTATTCCTTAGATCATCATCCTGGTTTCTGATTTTGTGGCCCTGGTTTTGGGTAGTATTGACAGGACTGCAAAACTAAATGGAAAAAGTAGGGGGATGTACTGTATTTCATGGAGCTTGGTGTTGTTACAGGTAGCCCCTAAAATCAGTGTAAAAGAACTTTRCAAGAAAAGCCATGTTGGGTCATGTTTTTGCCATTGAGGTAAAAWTAAGCTTACGGACATCTCCATAGCCATTTTGGTATCCTACATGTATTCTAAAGCTTTAAGCTACAGAAACATTCATGTTCATTTTCTGCACTTTGTTACAGTAAAATAGTTTAGTTTAACTTTTGAAATTCCGTATCAGAAGTATTTTATTTGGACACTTGTATTCCTAAATAAAGATGCCCTGGTTACATTAATTAAGGTCAAGTGAAAACAAAGGAGCAGCCCTATTCTGACGTGTTTATGGAAGATTAACCATCCCATCTGGAAAACTCCTTGGCAACTAATGCTGTTTTGGAGTGCTAATCTTATAAAGCTAGGAAATAGCACAGTAACCTTATGCTGGCCCATCACCACCCTCACAGGTAAAGCAAAACCCTTAGAGGTTAGCAAAGCACCTCAGGCTCTTCAGCTGTGAGATTGTCACCACCTTCAGATAAAGCTTTGCTGCCTCTTGCTGGGTGTTTCTTTTCCACTATTAACAGTGTTAATATTCACCCTGGACTGGTTTGGTTGAGCTTGATTCACAGGAGCRAGATAGTGAGCAAAAGAGGAAAATGATTGTATGTTCAGATGAAGTGCCTGAGATCTTTCAGACTGATCCATTCTGGACATCCTTCTCCATTTAACAATCCTGATGACCCTGCTCCTACCTCTCCATCCCCAATGGAGACTACATGCTTTCCCATGTTTTTGAACTGTGTGTACTTACCCCTGCACACATTTCCCACCATCCCTTACATTAATTTGGGGGACACAGTAGTTCCTCATTGTTCTTAATGTTACCCACTCATTCTTGGTYGGTAGCAGTCTATCTGTGTGTTTATGCAAGCACAGTGTTTGATATTGGATTTTTAACATGAAATTAAAAAACAAAAAATTATGGTCCCTTTAGCCAATAGCTTAGTTTCAAGAGCTGAATTCTGTGTGAATCAGATCRTCATAGAAACACTTTCCTGTACCAGTCACTGATAGGTCTCCAACCCAAGAAAGATGCTAAGTCAGAAAAGMAATGTTCAAAATGGGTGACCCTTGGTTTTGACATGTAATCCCATATGTGTTGGCTGTTGTAGATTTGAACATCTTGGGAGATATTGAGGTTGAGGCTCTCTAAACCCCCAGTGAGTCAAAGCTAGTTCTGTTTCATATCTTAAACTCTTTCTTTAATCTTTTGGGAGTAAAGAAATGGAAACTTTGTTTTCTTGTTGATTTTTTATTTTTAACACATGATGTAATAAGATGACAGCAAACAAAAGCATGCGATGAAAACATAAGGGATTAGGGGTTATTTTGGCTTTTGCTGCACCTGTATTCTCTTCAGTGGCCCAGCCCAATCCAAAATGCTCAGTTCCCCCTAAAGGGACAATAATTCTTCCCCCTAAAGGGACAATAATTCTTCTGATACTATGATACATCCTGGAATGTATTCTCTTAGAGGCTGTTATCTCTGGCACTGTGAAGTTAGTGAGGTAAAGAGCTAGATAAAGGGCAGCCTCAAGGAATTTCAGGACTTTTGGAGTCAGAAAGTTCTTGGGAGCAGCAGTTTCAAAGAGAAGCTGAAGGAGAGAGCAGAGGAAATGAGAGGGAAAARTGGTTGTCACACAGGAACATAACTGGAAAGATAAAATTGATTTGAGAGAAAAGCATGAATCTGGGGAGGCACTGTCATGCAGAAATGTCTTCCCCTATGCTAGTGCAGTTGCTTCAAACAGCTCATTCTTAGAGAGATATTTGAAAATTCCTGAGCTTGAAGGCCCAGTGTAGTTAGGCCTAGTTTTGTTTTTCCTGGCCCAGGTGCATTGCAGAGGTTTTACAGATGCAGTGGAAGGGGAGCAGTGAAATTTTAATCTGTTTATTGCACCATTTGAACAGCTTGAGCAAAGTAACAATTCTGTCTGCATTTATGAGATCTGAMTCTGCTGCTTTTCTGAATAAAGGAGGTACCACCAGGGGGCAACTAGCTATCCATCTTCTTCCTAATGAGCACAAACTACTCCTTTCTTGGAAATTTTGTGGTGTGAAGAATTTTGAACTGGTAGAAATCAATACAAGAAAAAGAAAAAAGGGTTCATGAGTTTTCTTGGCAGTKGTAAAATATATTTGCGACTGCATCAAACAAGCAGCCACATGGTAGAATGTAGTTTGGACCTACAGCTTGTTCAGAATTTGCTGTGTTAAACCTAAGTGTTTAACATCTAAAGTTGTTTTGTAGGTGTGAAAYGAAAGGAAAAAACCAAAATGTGAATATGCTTTCAAGGTTTATTTGTAATAAACATATATGCTATCCTTAGTGCCATGGAGGGTGCACCAGGTTCACTCATGCACCTGTGAAAGATTTTAATATTAAACTCCACTTTCTGCCTGAGAAATAATTAAGAACTCTGCATAGATTGTATGGTTTGAAACAGCTTGTGATTTATATGGAATTTTTGATGTATTGCAGGTTCTTCAGCAAAAGCACTTGTGAGCTTGAAAGGTAAGCAATTAATATGTTATTTACTTGTACCCAATTTGCCTTTCAGGTGTACTTAATTTCTGGCTTCAGAAAGTTCAAGAAAATAACAGGTTTTTTGTTGAAATATGATTTGGTTTATTGTAGGTATTTGTTAGTTCCATAGACTAATAACCCTGGGCAGTTGAAACTGCATATGTTAYGGTGTATTTAGACACTGCTCTTCTGGGTGAAATTCCTGAAATTTTTTTTGTTCATCAGTACTTCCTAGGCATCAGGTTTGATGAGATGATTGAGGTAATCTTTCATCCCTTGAGAAAGAGATACAGGAAATATTCTTAGCAAGACATGTGACAAAATTTACATTAGGAGGGCATTTCACAATTTCATTGTTTTCTGTCAGCAAGTTGTGGGCAAAATCAAAAACATGCTGCTTATGTTTTGGTTTTTTTTTTAATTGTCTTCATGCACATTTATATACATTCTGAATAATTCTAGTCTGCTCAATAGTTAAAGCTTCTTTTTGTATTACAAGGCTTTTTGTTACACAAGGGAGAAGGCATGGCCTGTTGAATATGTTGTAACTAATGCAGATTTGTTAGAATAAAATCTTATTTACTTGTTGGTGTGCACCCACTTAATAATTTTCTAGGACTGGAAGGGTTCTATGTCTTGTAGAGCTTTGCTTTGTCCAGGTTTCAGTTACAGCTACAGTACAACTGTTGATGCGTGTCAACCTGACAGTGGAAGTAACTGATTCCAGCAAARGAGGTTTGAAGAAACCAAAATGTTGTCACAAGTAAAAAATATTTTGTTTGTATCTTCTTGTGCTGAAAATCTCCTTTTATTTTTTTTTTTATCAGTGTTAATAACAATTTAATAGAAATAGTGAAATCCAAAATCCATTTGTTATTGAATTCAAAGATATTGCAAGTAAAAAATATTTTAGTTGATGCTGTTATACTTGCTTTCGGATAGTAGTTATGTTAAAACATACACATACTTGTGTGTATATTAATGATGTACTTTCTTCACAACAGAGGGAAGTTTATCCAGTTCGTGGAATGAAAAATATAATTCTCTGCAGAAAACACACATTTGGAAAAGCAAGAATGCTGGTTCTGCAGTGGAAATGGTAAGAAGCAATCAAAAGCTTCACGATTAGTAAAATACTGTAGAGTGAGTCAAATATAAGAATCACAAAATTTGGCTGAGAGTTATAATTTTGTAATGTCCAAGTGTGAAATTATGTCCTTCGCAAGCACTTTGCACAGTTTATGGGAAGAAAACATATTTTATAAATGAATAATCAAATAATTAGATTGCTGATCTTTTTCAGGACTGAATAWTTTTCACTCTCTTTTTGGTAAAGCRTGTGCCATATGAAGTATTTATACTGCATCTACCACCTTGAGCATGGGAATCACCAATGCTGATCAACTATTTTTGTATCTCATGAAATATCTCACATCTAATGGCTGAGGTTGATGCATGAAGGAAAGGAAGGGAAACTGTCATAATGCACTTCCATCATTATGCCTTCTAGGGGTCAGATTTTAATATAAGTAATGTCAGTAAAATGTGTGGTATTCTGAGAAGTCTCACAGGAGGCCTTATGTTGAAGAGCAACCTTGGGGTGGGGATATAAAATGAGCCTGCAGCTTCCGAAGGCATGTCTGATGTTTGGGTTGACAATTTCCCTCTTGTTGTTTGGGGTTTTAGGGTTTTTTTTAGCTATTTGTTTCTTGTTCTTGGATCTTCTCCCTGGTATTTATTTTGGTAGGATTCATACAGATGCATATATACACAGATGTTGCTATGTTTTTATGCTAGCGAATATCAAGTCTAATATAAATATAAAATGCAGTTCTAGACAGAGACCAGAATTTTGTGAAGACCCTTAGTTCCTGCAGTTCGTGTCACAATTTTGAGCTGTTCTCAGGAGTGYCCATCATCCCACAGAAACAAGCCTTATTGGTAACTTAGAAGATCACATGTTCTAGACACCTGAAGTGACTGGCTGTRACATCTGTATAAAAACTTAGTCATTCTTTAGGTATGGTGGCTGTAGGTGTTAAAAATACGGAGTCAAACTTTGAATGTAGCTCGGTGTTCTGTAAAAAGCTGGGGGAAAGATCAGAACATAGTCTGACACGTTAGCAATGACCCATGTGGCTGAGATATGATGGAGTAGTTTGAGTTTACTGAATGCTGAAGTTTTGAATACATGTTGTACTGTCAGTTGAAAAATCTCTCCAGAATTGCCTGACCTATTCAGCTACCGTGGATGACACATCTTTGCAACTTGTTATTTTGCTCCTAWGTGAGGCACAGACAGTCCAGAGTGATGAAACACTCTTCTCATTTTGGATAGTTYTTTGGAGTAGAATTTGGCAGTTTCTGTTGAGGGTTGTAAAAGTTTGCTTGGTCTGGATCATGATGATTTGATTATCTTATCAACGTATAGTTCCTCAGTTCAGTGTGTGTCTTTCTTGGTTTGTAACATCTACCAAGAATTAATATTTTCTTCTGTGTGCTGCATATGCTTAGGYGTCTATCACTTCTGTTACTTAAATACACTTGCATAGTTCTTTGTATAAAATATATATGATTTAGAGTAATAGARTCTTATTTTCTGGGAACTCCCCTTGTTCAGATGGTGTGGGACAGACATTTTTAGCTACTACTAATTATTTATTAGAAAATATCTCTTTTCAAGCAGTTAACCAGTCACAAAATTATTATGTCTTTCTTAAGTGTAAATGCTTTGTTAGTGAACTTCTTGTTTTGTTTAACTGTGTTAATTTGTCTCTGACTTCTGTGAAGGGCTTATATTTGTCACTGGTATTCTTCACATTGTGGGTGTTACAGATGTCATACCCTTATCAATTTGTAGCATTTTCACCATCTGTACTGAATGTAGTCAAATCTGCATTTGTTCTGCCTTTTCTCATTACACTTTTAAGAAGTTTGAAGTACAGGGAATGACACAGGGTGCAATCTTGGGGATCTGCAGCGGAACCCCATTTCAGTTGTGGCTGGGCCACACAAYCTTCATGGAAGGGAAAGGAAAAGCTGCTTTTCCTCAGCACTAACAGCCAAGCACAGATTGCTCTTTTGTCCTCAGTGAAAGCAGGGGTCCGATGTTGAGGAATAACTGCATGCATGTTTTTCATTACATATTTGCAATATTGTTTCTTGTTTTCAGTCAGCCTTCTAAGTCAGCCTTCTGAGCTATAGCAGTACACAAGTAAGTTTCACTTAGTGTAGATTCTAAATTCTTTTTCCTGATATTGTCACATAACTTATTCAGTATTTAGTTTTTTCAGACTTGATCTTCTTAGCGTTTTGCTATGTAGGTACTTTCAATGAGTTAAAAAAACCAACAAACATACATCACTTCATTAGAAAATTCTTGCTAAAATTCTATGCAGCTGAGAACATGCAAAACAAATACAGTGTTTGAATAAACCTTTTTTTTAATCTGAAATTCAAAACAAATTGTTTAACAGATGTACTACTTATAACCAAGGCAAGCTAAGATACACAAGTGTTTGGACACCTAACTCTAATGGAAACAAGTGGGAGTTAGGTTCTAAATSCTTCCATGAAACTGGGGCAGCAGTATAGTRATGATTATAGTTAGCATTGGAAAASCYTGGAATCTTGAACTYCTTCTTCTCTCAGTCCTTAGATCTCTGAGTGCTAGGAGACACTATTTATTGGGTACCATGGGCCTGAAAACCAACAGGTGACAGGAGAAGAGGCATTTCATTCTTCTCACTGTGAATTCTGTGCATGAACAGAGAAATCAGATTTCTTGCTTGTAATTAATTCTTAATTCTTAATTTCATACAGCCRTTCAGAAATTCAAAACGGAGTCGACTCTTCAGTGAAGAAGATGACAGACAAATAAACACAAGGTCACCAAAAAGAAATCAGAAGGTTGCCATGGTTCCACAGGTACCTACATGTATGAAGATAATTTCACCAGAAAGGGGAACAAGTTTTAGTTGAAAATTAGAATATGTTTGCTTTTCAAGTTACATTTTTGGTTTATGAATCTTCTTGTGAGGAAAACTGTTGCTAGAAGTAAGCCACAATTCAAAAGAGATTAATATTTTTCTTCCTTACAACTGGTTTCCTAAGTTTATTTGTGGGAGTACTTGTTCTTTGTGATCCTGGACATAACATACAGAGCTAGAAAGGATTCCAGACTAATTGCCCATCATGCTTCTACAAACAATCATATCCTGTAATCAGCATAAATTTATTCAGCTTCAGTTTTAAACTACCTAAGTTTCTTGCACTGATTACATAACTCAGAAGGCTGCTATAGAATTTAATGTATCCCAGCAAGTTAGAGGAATTGCTGTAGATTTGTAGCCTAAATGTGCTTATGGCCACCTGTACTTTTGTGATCCTGTAATGCTAAAGTCCTCCCGTTCAAACAGGTTTTTTACCTTTCTGCTGTTTGGTTGTGCACTCCTTGATACAGCATGAAAGAACAGCTGTCATTTGTCAGCCTTTATTTGCTATGTTAGAAAGGCCAGCCTCTCTTAGTRAATTGGCTCTGTAGTGCTTTTGTCATCAACATCACTTCTCTGGGCCATCACCTTATGAGCATGAATTTACCTCATGRAAAAAGTACTACTTGAATACGGGTCTGATTTGCCTTCTGAGTTGTGCAGTGTCTAATGTGAAAGGTTTGGCACTTGCCTTTTAGCTGGTCCGTTTTGCCAGAGGTGAGAACCATGGCAGTTCTCTTCATTACCATGATTTCTTAAGAGTTAAAAGACTTGGTAATGTTCTAAGCCCAGTTGGTTTGTACTTAAATATCTGATACAGTAGATGCAGTGATTGTTAGGTAAATATTTGTGAGGGACTGCAGCTGTTGTAGTTCACACACCTTGCTGTCCTGCTAGGATTTGTTTCCTGGAGTTCCAGTGGAAGAAGAGGGACCTGTATCTCATGCAGCAGCAGCCAGCAAGGTCGCTGCCTTATGCTTTTTTCCTACTGTTGCTGCTACGAAAGTCTACAATACTGCAAATCTTCGGGGAAGGCTAATGACTGATGATGCCATTGGGACAGAGTTAAACTAATAGTCTCAAACAGCTGTTTTTTTTGCAGAAAAGATTTTCTCCCTGTTGGTTAAGACAGCCATCCTTGGAACAAAATTACAGATTTTTTTTTTATAGCCTTGTTTAAACACAGGTGTTGCTTGTATTATGTAAGCAATCTAAGACTGTCTTTTCTGTAATTTATCAAATAGTTTTCAAACTTTGTTAAAACTTGATTGCTTCTGTGTGTGGTAGTTTCCATTGCAGTTTTCTAAACAGACACTGCTCAAAAGTTTGGCTGTTACATTCCTCTGTCAGCTTAATCCTCAGTTTAAGAGTGAGCAAGAGTAGAAATTCTAGTGTAAGGCAGGTGCTGTTGCTGGCATCTGAGCTGCAAGCAAGATCAATTATCCTCACCTGAGACAGTCGGTGGGGACCTCAGAATTTTGAAGTCTGTATGTATTTTAGTGCTGGTTTTACCAATAATGTTGCCAGTTTTCAGTGCTGGAAAATGTTTCTGCTAGAAAAACTTTGTATGGAGATAATTGTATTGATCCTGTTAAAATTTGCCCTCCGTTCTGTTTGACTGCATTGCTGATATAATGCAGTAAGGGTTGTTATAAATCTGCAAGAAAAAAATGTCGTAAGACAATATGTGCAGACTTTTATCAGGAAAATGTAGCTTATTTGAATACTGAAAAATGTTGGACAGTGTTTAACTGTTTCTTTTTTTTTACTACATAGAAGTTTAGTACAACAATGTCCACACCAGAAAAGAAAGTATCCCAGAAGATTGGGTTACGGCTTCGAAACCTACTGAAACTTCCCAAAGCTCACAAGTGGTGCATATATGAGTGGTTCTATTCAAATATAGATAAGTATGTTTGATTTCTATAATTATCTCTTATTACTGTAGAAACAAGTAATTATCTGAAATTGAGCTGCATAGTCCATATGTTGGTTAGATTCTCCAAAGATTATTCTTAAATTATTAGTTACTGAAAGCTATTTTGTTTTGTTGTTGGTTTTTCCCTTTTTTATAATGAGCAACGTATGTGTTCTTTGTTCTTTGCAACTACCAACTTTAGAAAGTCTTCTATGGAAAGCCTTCCTTCATGGATATAATTTTCTTTTTATCATCTCTGTTTCTGCCAGATACCAGATTTTATTCMTAATGCTTTTAACATCTGAAGCATGAAGTTATCATAACACTTTTCTGATAATTTTTCTGAGCCCTTGGTCAGTTTTACACGGAGGAGGTAGGAAAGACACTGCTTCTTCATAAAGTGCTGCTTTCCTAAAAGGTKTAAAAAATGGTATTAAATATTTCTTCCCCATCATCCTGTTTTTATTGTTATCACTAAGAGGGCTTTAGGCTGTGACTGTTCAGCTGTTGTCCAGATATCAGAATCCTTCTTGGAKCTCCTGAGGTATTTCTTAGACTTTCTGCAGTTTGTGGCTTGGAGGTTTTGGCACTTGCTCTCTTAGTGCCACTAGCACAGTGRTGTGAATTGTTTAAAAGAACCATTYTCATTTCAAAAATGTAAAAAATACTATTGWTGAATGGAATCTAAAATCTGCACTGATTGACTAATAGATGAAACACAAGTATTTAATATTCTAAAGAATGGCTTTAGAGCTAACAAGCATTTTTTTCCAGAATGTACAAACAAAATAATTACTGTTTTTCCTTCCTATTTTAATCACAATTGCTGTAGCTTTTTTTCTTAACTGAGAAGGCAGTCATAGCAACAGAAAAACATTTTGGCGTGTGTTCATCAGAAGTGGAAAAATTATATGTCCATTTTAGTTAAAATTCATCATCTGTAGGATTTAATTCCTTTGGAAGAAGTAGTCTTTWCATGCCTTTTTTCCCCCTTATTTGAAAAAAAAATGAACAAAACAAAAAACCCAAACCCTATTTATTTCTAGGAGTAATTCTAATATGGGACATTTTTAGTCATGATTTTTACAGCAGTCCAAGAACTCTTAGTTTAATTCTTGAAGAATTGTCTGTGAAACTTCTATCAGTAGACTAGAATTTGAGTTTAGTAGGTAATTCTGAAAACCTCTTTCATAATTATCAATGTATGTATGTATGTATGTATGGTGGGTTGTCCTTGGTTAAGACGCCAGGAGCTCATCAAAGCTGCTCTCAGCTGTRAACAGGAGAGGAAATGTAACAAGAGGGTAAAAGGCTCAGATAAGCACAGGGGGGATCACACCAGTTTCTCTCATGGGCCAAACCGACTTGACTTTGTGGACTTAGTGTAATTTATTACCAATCAGATCAAAGGAGGATAATGAGAAATATAAACAAGYCTTACWAACACCTTCCCACCACCCCTCCCTTCTTCTCGAGCTTTATTTCCAATTCTCTATGTCCTATGCCCCAGAAGCAGAGGGAAACAGAGAATGGGGGTTGTGGTCAGTTCATTGGACATTGTCACTGCTGCTTCTTCTTCATTTGAGGGAGGAAAGGAAGCCTCACACTCCCATGGGAGACAGTCTTTTACAAAATTCTCCMATGCCAGTCCYTCCCATGGRCTGCAGTTCTTCACAAACTGCTCCMGTGTGGGCCCCTTCCATGAGCTGCACTGCTTTAGTAATAGACTGCTTCAGTGTGGGTCCCCCCYGGGGTCASAAATCCCACCAGAAAACCTKCTCCAGTGTGGGCTCTTCTCCATGGGTCCACAGGTCCTGCCAGGAGCCTGCTCCAGCATGGGCTTCCCATGGCTTCACAGCCTCCTTTGGGCATCCACCTGCTCCAGCATGGGCACCTCCAKGGGCTGTTGAGGCACAGCTGCTTCACCATGCTTTGCAGAGGAWTCTGTGTTCTGGTGCCTGGAGCACCTCCTTTCCTGACCTTGGTTTGGTATCTGCAKAGCTGTTTCTCTCAGATATTSTTTCTTCTGTCTYTTGCTGCAATTGCAYAGGGGTTTTTCCTCYTCCTGTCTATRTTATCACCGACTGGTTTAACCTTGGCCAGCAATGAGTCCTTTGTACCAATGGACATTGGTTTTCTTGGATATAGGAGAAACTTCTGACAGCTTCTCAGAGAARCCACTCCTGCAGCCMCCCTCTGCCAAAGCTTTGCCTTGCAAATCAAATACAGCTTGTAATGCTCATATGACCAGGTTAAGATATTATAATATAGTTTACTAAGAGACTGCTTATCTTTGGAAGAAAACCTTTGATACATCTTGTGTAGAGTGATATGATCCAGACTTAATGAGAAGCTTGAACAAGTGGAAGTTGTAGAGCTGTCAACTAACAAAATGTGGCTCACTGTACAAGTCTCTGAATATTTTAATCAAWTTATTGCATCCAAAATTGAAACAATCAAATAAGATGTCATGTCTGCTGTTAAATTTTTGAMATATTTTTACTTCTACAACTATTGYCTGTGTTTATTAGATWATTGAARCTGTTTTAGTTGGATTCTCTGTATACTGCTGCAGGACTGTTTTCTGTAAAGTCCCATTGATTTTGGACATGCAGAAACTTCTGAAGTGCTATTTGCTGCTACAGTCATCACAGCCCCTCAGAAGCAGATGCACCTGTAACTTGCTTACACAGTTTTCCAGAGCTTCCAATCTTGTGGATGCTGTGGATTTAGAGTTTGCTTGCTTAAGAACAGGCATTAGTACGAACAGTCAGATACAGATTATCTTTCTCAAAAAGACCCAAAAACAAACAAAAAAAAACCCCAACCCCAAAACAGAAACAACAAGAAAAAAAATCAAAAACCAAGCAAAGTAGTTGTTCTTTATGCAGATATGATAGTAATAGTAAATATGGATAAAATGAACTGTTGTCTTTGTTTCCTGAGCCTCACTGATCATTCTTTGTGGTTTCCTTTTCACTGCATGCCACAGCTGCAGATCCTTCTACTGCAAAACTATTCTCTTCCATTCATGCCCGAGTCTCCTTATATCTGTGCACCTTTCCTCTCCCCTACCACCTCAGACTCTCAGTTGAAAGCAGTGTTGCTTCCAAGATCCTCTTTGTTCTRTGCTTGGGTATATTCCTCTCCAAACCCCAGTGCCCTGCAAAGAGTGGAGAAAAGCAGCTTTATCTGAGATGCAGTTATCCTTTTGTTCTCACCAGGAGAGACCTATTTCAGTTGCACATAGTCTTTAATGATTAACCTTCTATTAGATGGGCATATCCATTGCTGCTCCCTTGTCTCTTCAGCCCAAGAAGGATGTGGTACTACAAAGAAAAAGGCAGTCATAAAACTGAGATAGATATGGGTTATAGCATCAGAGAGAAGTGTAAGTTGTGTAGGTTTGTTCTCTGAACTGTCACTTCTCTCATACTGATCCTCTGCTTCACCATGGAGTCATGGGATGATACAATAGAAGTCTCACCTGTACAGCTGTAGAGAATGATGACTTGGTTCAATTTCCTGTATTTTGGAACCCTCTGCTGAGTATCTGAGTTACAACTGAATGAACTGGTGAAAAAAGGCACTGTCTATTTCTCAGTATCACATTGTCCTTTCCCTTTATTCTCCATATTTCACTCTCTGGTTTCCTTCAATGTGCTGAAGTATCCTCTTGACACTGAATTGGCTTTCTGAAGTTTCATTTGGTGCCTTTATATACATTACAAAGAAGGATGAATTACATATGTTTCTCTGTAGTAGCAAGAGAAGGAAGCATTTATAAATAGCAGTAACAGCAAGGTTCAAAGTACAATAATCCTGGAAACTTCCAGGTTTTGTTTTCACCTGAATTTATTTCAGGTTTAAATTGTTCTTTGATTAGGAGTGTCTTGTTTATGTGACTGATTTATACTATTTTTTCAATGTATTTCTTATGACAGATATTTTTTGGAATCTCATGACAAAAGTTTACTAAGTGTAGCTAACATACGGCTAATTATGTTTCAACAGGCCACTATTTGAAGGAGATAATGACTTCTGTATATGCCTGAAAGAATCTTTTCCAACTTTGAAAACCAGAAAATTGACAAGAGTAGAATGGGGGAAAATCAGGCGATTAATGGGGAAACCACGGAGGTAATTTTTTCTTTCTTTCAGCTAATACCTACATGTAGTTTTGATGTTACTGGAATTGTTCCTCTTAAAATAATTTTGCATTCAAATAGTAGAACAAAACAATATCTTAAGAGTAGTAAAAGAGATTTTATTGAGGTGTTCTCTGAGCACTTCTCTCCCCCATGCACCATATTCCCTAAATGCATGTGCCCAGTCCTTGTAATTCTCGTGAGCTTGTCCTTGAAATGTTCTCTTCCTACTCCAGGTAACTGAGTGTCCAAGCTAGGATGTGTTGAAGTTGTTACTGTATCTTGTATACTGCAATGCTTCCGGGCCTGGAACACTGGCCAATTTTTCTCTAAGGTTTTTTCCTGGCTATAGCTAGTGTTTCGTGGGGAAAACAAATGCACAGTTTCATCTCACTTAGTTTATTATTATTTTTAAACCATTTTGTAGATCTGCAGCTTTTCCTGGATTGGCTACCAAAACAGAGAGAGGATAAAGTCACCCATAAAATATTGAACATTGTAGAGAAGAAGCCAGAATTTAATGAAGGATGTAGTTGTTTGGGGTTTATTCTAATTCAGAATTTTTAATTCTTTTCTCAAACCCACTGATTCAGCTTAGCCTTTTCACAAAACCTACATAATTTAGCCTGGAGAAGACTGAAGGGAGGATCTCATTTTTGTGCAWAAATATTTGAAGGGAAGGTATAGAGAAGATGGGACCAGGGTTTTTCCCAGCATTATCTGGAGACAGGAAAAGAGGCAGTGAACACAAGTGAGGTGGTAGAATCTCCATCCTTACATATACTCAGAGGCTTTCTGGACGTGGTCCTGGGAAGCCTCCTGGAGGAGATAACTTTCAGTTGTCCTTCCAAACTCAACCAGTCTGTCATTGTGTAAGTAGCATTTCGTAAATAAAATAGCCTTTTATTTCTGTAAATGCAAACATTAAAGCACTGAATCAATTTCTGCCTAGATCAGAGTCAGATTATATTTTGCCTGATGGAGATAATTTCATCTTCTGTACCTACAAGCAACATAAGTAAAAATTGTCAGTCAAGAGAAGGCAACAGAGCCAGATTGAAAATAGCTCCTTTTGGAAAGATGTTCATATAATTTGGGCTTGACTTACATAGCTTTTCATTCTTCTGTTGTCATGCTTCCCACTGAGAGGGAAATGGTGTATTTGGAGGTTAAGTCATTCAATTTGACTTTTCCAAAAGTGGTTACCTCTCTAAAACATCAGGTTGCCTCATTCATCAGTCTGGTGGACCAATGGTGAMACTTCGAAGAGTCTTAGAATGGTTTGGTTGGAAAGGACCTGAATGATCATTTGTTTCCAATGGTGGTTGGGGTCAGGGGATGCCCTGGGCAGGGAGCATTGTTTAGATCAGATTGCACAGCCCCATCCAACCCAGTGGGTTGCAAACTTCCTTTTGGTTTTCAGGAGTTCTGTGGGTTGTTTTTTTAGTCATGGGGAGAGTGGTTTTGCATTTGATTTGGGKTTTTTTGTTCAGCTATTATAGTTTGGGTTTTTTTAAGAGAGATTCATGCCAATGGAACCAAACATCTAAATGGGCAGGAAATTGTTTTATCTGAATTCTGAAGTAGATGTCTTTGACTGCATAAAGAGTCTGTTAATGAAAACTTTGAGTTACTGCTTTATAGCAACACAAAATAAGCATTCCTGTTTGCTTTTTATTTCTTTACTGTTTTTTTATTACTGGCAATCTTTTTCAAGAATTCGAAAGTGGCCTTTGGCCTTAGTTTTAAAACACTTTGAATTATTCTAAATAATTTAAATGCTTTTTTAAGACAATTTTCATCTACCACTAGAGCAAATTTTTTTTTATTTTAACATTCTGTAATTCTGTCTGTCCTCATTGTATGAAGGTAAGCTATATACCTTGTCAACAATAATACCTCCCCATGAGAGATTTAAAAAAAAAATTAAGAAGTTTTGTACCCACAGTGCTGATGGCAGAGGATARCAGTGTCTCTGTGTGATAGTTATGYACATGGTTGTCATMTTTTTTTCTGTTTMAATATCTTGTAATATTTTSTTATGTCTGCTGCTACCTTAAATGTCCTATCACACATCGTCAGTGTGTTTGATTGGCACAACAATATTCTTCATGAGGGCCTGCAAACCTTGTAAGATTCCAGTAGACTGTGGGGAAAGATATGCTCC